CATTGACAGTAACTCTGAAATGACGTGTGGCCTCCCGGGCTTTGCTCCTGGGTCAAGCTACCCTCTTGTTTCTATTTCATTTTGTTCCCTTTCGATTACTGAGCGGTCACAGGCCTTTAACCTTTTCCTACAAGCTTGGGAGTTAGTTTTCCGAGGTCTCTTAAGCGTGAGGTCTTGATTGAAACTCCATCAACTTGATGTAATAAGCAACAAAGAATTTGGTTCTTAGGGTGATGGGTCCTTCCAACTTTGTACATGAATCTGATTTATCTTGTTGGTTTTTAATAAACTAATCTTGTGTTTAGTTCCCATGGTTTATCAATTTTCTTAGACATTTTTGTAGATAAGCCTTTAAATATCTTGGAAAGCTGTTAGCATAGAAGTCTTCTGTGATTCCCAAAGTTATGACAGTTCTCTCTTCCAACAAGCAATAGTGTAGTATACAACAGTTGTGAGTCTTCCGGTTCACTGTAATTTCAATAGCCCATATAGATAGAATTAGATCCCACCCTCCAGAGGTTTCTAAGACTACTTCCTCCTCACTTCAAATGCTGATCACAAGCTCTGGGATTTTTTTTTTCCTGTGTTTTAAAAAAAACTAGTCATAAGATAGAATTACGTCCTTGGGTTCAATTAATTTGCTAGAATGGTTCACAAAACTCAGGGAAATAATTACTTATGTTTTTTATTACAAAAGGTGTGTGTGTGTGTGTGTGTGTGTCTGTCTGTCTGTCTGTCTGTCTGTCTGTATTTGTGCTGTTGGCCATTGAGCCTACAGCCTCACACAAACGAAACAGGCATTCTATCATTAAATTATACCCAGATCCCACAAATGATATTTTAAAAGATAGAGGGTAGAGGGCTTCATGGATCTTTACCTCTAGGTGAGAAGCTACCAACAGTTTATGAGTCCTGGAGGAGGGAGAATCATTTTCTTCAGGAGTGTGGCTTCAGATAGAGTGCCCATGTTCCAGTGGATGTCTCCACACTCGTGTGTGTGTGTGTGTGTGTGTGTGTGTGTGTGTGTGTGTGTGTGTGTGTGTGTGTAAGGATGGCATTCTTTGAGCTCAGTGAGTTATGAGACAGGAGGAGGAGGCATCACCAGTGTGTTGCAGGGGAGGGGAGAAGATGTGTTGAGGAGATCTGGGGTGAGCAAGGCAAGAAGTGGTGAGCGGACATCCACCTACTCAGCAAAGCAATCAACTGAGTTCCTGACACTCTTAGGACCATGAAATTCTGAACTCATACAAATGAGGACAGATGGGAGCTGGTTAAAGAAAATCAAAGAGGAGCAAGAACTACAAAATACAACCCAGGCATGGTGGGAAAACTGAACCAGAGTGGTTTCATGTGGAAAAGACAGAGAGCAATCAATAGTAAAACAGTTATCCTTGTTAAACGGGAACCCCTTTTCTGGTCCGAGGAGTGAGTCATTCCCATTCCGTCACTGGCAGTGATTTCACGGGTGGTTGAGTTTGTAGTTCACATCTGAGTACTGAGATTAGCGATGCTAGAGTGTTCTAGCAATTAAACTGCTTCTTAACACCAACTTCTTCTAAGCAAGAGTTTTTAAAGGTCTATTTGGAGGCCCTGTGTGATCTGTTCTGGTCATAGCAAGGAGCAAGGTCATATAGCTTTACAATGTGCAGGCACCGGGATTCTAAAATGTGTGTAAATACCAACAGCTATTCATTCCTGGTGTATTTCTTTGTATAGTACACAGGCACAAAATGTTTCTTTAACCAAGAAAATATTAGTGGGCTTTCAAGGAACCATCCCTCCTTTGGCTCCATTACATTCCTTCTGGCCAGCTTATTAATAGTTTTAACCAAGAACTGATGATGAACATCTGCCAACCAAGCTGTCCCACACTCATTCTCGGTCTTCCCTGAATGAAACCGTGATTTCCCGTACACTGTTCCAACATTTACTCTATTTTGCAATTGTGACTGCCTAACGCTTATACATGCATGACATCAACAACTGTGGAATATTCTTCCACACCAAACAGAAGCAGAGACACCTGTGCCAGGCACGTTCTAGTCACTATTCTTGGACAAGTTAACTTCTTCAGGACTTACCTTTAACAAAAAATAGGGTTAATAATCACCATCATTTGATTTAAAAAAATAAGATCTTTTAAATATTTGTTTTTAACATTTTATTTGTTCGTGTGTGTCTGTGTGGATGTATGCTATGTTTGTGCATGGTCATGAAAGCGGGAAGAAGGGCATCAGAGCTTCTGGAGTTGGAGGTGCAGAAGGATCTGAGCTGTTTGCTATTAGTGCTGTGAACTAAAACCCCAGTCCTTTGGAAAAGCAATAAACATTCTTAACCACCAAATCATCTCTCCACACCACCACCACCACCACCACCACCACCACCACCACCACCACCACCCCCAGGTATAGCCCAAGCTGGCCTCAAACTCATGCCCCAACCTGTCTGCACATCCTACTGGTGTACACCATCACAACTGCCAGTACCTCCTCCATGTAAAACAGACTATTTCTGTGGATAAGGGGTGATCTGTAAAGCCTTATCTAGTCTTTGTATTAGGCAGGTCATGGTTACTATAGATTCTGGTGACTATATGTGGTGGTTTGGCCCATATATAAGAAAATGGCTCCCAAGACAGTGGCACTATTAGAAGGTGTGGCCTTGTTGGAGGAGGTGTGCCACTGTGGGGGCAGGCCTTGAGGTCTTTCTTGCTCAGGCTTCCCTCAGTGTGACTTCCAGTTGCCTGCAAGCCATAGGACTCTCAGCTGTTTCTCCAATACCACATCTGCCTGCCTACTGCCATGTTCCCTGCCATGATGATAATGGAATGAGCCTCTGAAACTGTAAGCGAGCCCCTCAATTAAATATTTTCCTTATAAGAGTTGCTGTGGTCATGGTGTCTCTTCACAGCAATAGAAGAAACCCTAACTAAGACACTGTATCAGGCGAAATTTTACTGAGTGGAAACACATAAGTGAACATCTATACTAAGTATATCCAAATCAGCATTGATGAGCTAATCTGTGAAAACAGTATCAGCCCAGAAAGAAGCTTCAAGTAATCTAACAAAGAAGCCCCAGCTCCGACTTTGAATTATGAAATAAGGACATGAGATTGTCAACTGTGATGTAGAGTAAATTTCTAGAAAGGCACATGAAAAGAGCCCAACTTATTTGGAGCAACAATGTGAGCTGGCATAACTTGTCTTCAAGCATTGATTCTTCTCCAAAGAGATTTCAGTTTACCCTCCTTGGAATGTCAGGTTCCACTCAGCAGAATTTGTGTCAGGCTCTCTCACAACTGGTTGGCTTCTCTCATGTCTGCTCTCTGTATTGTTATTACAATCCCCTTGTACATGTTTAGCTGGTCTGAATATCCCGCCCTACATCCATTACCTATTTATCATGAGCCCTTTCAGAGGATATAAGAGAAGACTGGTTGAGACAATTTTTCTTATGCCATGGGTCTGAGCAATTCATGGATTTCTTTTTAGTCTGTTCATTCCACCTCTTTATGTTTCAGAAACATAGTACAGAATACTAAAGATACCCAGCACATGCTGGTCCTGTTTTTCTGGCTTCTTTAAAGGTGTGCAGACCTGAAAGTGAGCCCCAGAGACTGCACTGCAATCCTGTCTGGATACTCAAAGCTAGGACTCAGCAAGTTGAGTGGTTAATAACCATTCTGACTTTTATGAAGATGTTGTACAAATTATCCTTGAGGTTAGAAACTCAATGAAAGTATAGAGCCAAACCAAAATTTTTAACTACTGAAAATTATACTAACAACCATCTTCAAAAAATACAGAGGAATAACCAGTCTTCAAATATTTCACTGATTACATACTAGTCTTTATTCTATTTGTAGTCAAAGGTTAGTTCTTATTTCTCTGGCTGTTTAATGCTTTGGGATCAGCCACAGTTCTGCCAAGACAACTCCATCATTCCCATTCCACCACTCAGCTGCAGAAGTCAAACTTCAAGATGCTTGATTGGTGAATGATAAGGATGGACTAAAGTTAGTCATCTAGATATTCAGATGATCTAATGGAGTTAGCACACAGCCCTCAGGCTTGTGGCTTACAAAGGTTACTTATGTCCAGCAAGGCATGGCTGTACTTATTACTACTCTTTGGCCTCATGTATCATAAGAACGCTGTTTAACAGTCACACCCTGGGTCCAAATCAGGTGGAGTCAGAGAGAACTTTATATATAGGGGATTGGAGAGATGGCTCAGTGGGCCAAGCGTTTGCTAGGCAAGCAAACACATGAGGACCTGAGTTTAGATTCCCGGCACCCACGTAAAAGCCAGCTGTGGCAGCACATCCTGACAAACACCCCCCCCCATCAGGTAAGATAGAGACAGGAAGATCCTGGGGGCTTGTCAGACAGCCAGCCTAGCTGAGACGTGAACTCTAGATTCACCGACAGACCCTGTCTCAAAAGATAAGGTGGAGAGTGACAGAGAAAGACTCCCTGTGTCCTGTTCCAGCTTCTGCATGCACATTCACGGGCTGTTGCATAAGTCACATGTTTAAGAAAAGTTGTCCCAACCAGTGTTCTCTTACATCCACTGAAAGGCTCGTGTTGAACAGTCAATGAATTGAATATAGCCTGGGATATTTAGACCAGTAAGCACACACACACACACACACACACACACACACACACACACACACACACAACATACCCCCATATAACACACATAGAAAAAAAAAACTTTGGAAGGTAAATTCCTACATGGCACACACTTTGGAAGGATTACAAGTGTCCTTTGTCTGTCAGCATCAAATGTTTCGTGAAGCCACATTCCTCACAGTCAAGGTCCAAAGCCACAAACTACTGATTTTACAAGAATCAGTTGCCCATCTTGGCACTTTGAGGAATGACTGTTAGGGCAGATTTTGAATGAATTCGTTAGAGGATAATGATGAAGCATGAAGATGTTCACAGCTGATTTTAATGACTTTGATACAAACAACACAAATAAGCCCATCGGCACCCGGGCAAAGCGTGCTTTGTTTTATTTCCTTCAAATCACAGCTAATGATCCAGGCACGTTTAAATGAACCAAACTGTGGTTTATTCGGAGGAATTCAATGTTTCTCTACAAATGACACTTGTGGCTTAAGTTCAAATCCCGTGAATGGGAAAAGCAGTGGCAGAGAGGAGACACCTGGGAACTTTATGGGTGGGACCCAGGTGAGGTCCGGTTACCACATCCTCCTGTGTGAGGAACCGGCCTCTTTTCTGGATGCTGAGACTGTTCTTAACTTCTGGAGTCATGGCTTGCCAAACACAGCACAACTCCCCATCCTTGCCATCTGTACTTCAAAGCCAACCCCCCCAGGAGACATTCCTTCAAAGTTAAAGTCATTTTAGCAGTCAAGTGACATGACAGGATGTCTGGCTTGGTTTGAGGTACCCCAGGTTGGCTTTGTTCTTTTGGAAGAGTCCGTCACAGGAATCGTTTCTAAGGATTCCTTTATATAATAAAAATCAAAAAGAATCTTTCTCTAAAGATGGTCTTCTCAATCTTTGGTATGCCTTTGAGGAAAGAAGAAAATAGCCTTTTTTTCATCAGTGTCCTCGTGGAATCCTGACAGAGCCCAGCGCAGAATTCTATACCTTCTCATTCACGGACACCCCCCCCCCCCGACCTAAGGAATCCCACTATTGGCCAGCCCCTACTTTTTCACTCATGGCCTCTGAGCAGTGGGAGACCAGAGTGAAATCGCACACCTGGACACTCTCCTTGGGATTACTTTGTCTCACAACACATCGAATACCTAAAGTACATGGACCGCCCCCACGGCCAGAAACCAGGGAGTGAGGGGGGTGACCAGTGAGCCTGGCTGGCTTTGAGGGTAGAATAGGATGTGGGTGGGCCCACCAGGCTGGGTTCCACCCTGCTGCTGCTGCTGCTGCTGCTGCTGCTGCTGCTGCTGCTGCTGCTGCTGCTGCTGCTGCTATGTGAAGTCCAGGGTGCCTTTGCTTCTCTTAGCAGCAAGCCAATGGTGCTCTCACTCATTGGAGGATGGGGCAGGCTCCTTCTTGCAGGTATCGTGCTTGGCTTGGTGTCGTTGGAGGTGATTGGAGCGGGTAAAGGCCTGGCCGCAGCCTTCACACTGGTAAGGCCTCTCCCCGTTGTGCATCCGGATGTGCTGTGCCAACTCGGATGCGATGCTGAAGGCCCTGCCGCATTCGGCACAGAGGAAGTCCTTGTCCCCGGAGTGGATCTGTTGGTGCCGCTTCAGGGTGGAGGAGCGGGCGAAGGCCTGACCGCACTCGGCGCAATGAAAAGGCCTCTCGCCGGTGTGGATGCGCTGGTGGCGCAGCAGGCGCGAGGGCTGCGCGAAGGCCACGCCGCAGTCGGCGCACTTGAAGGGCCTCTGGCCCGTGTGCAGCGTCTGGTGCTCCTGCAGGTTGGAGGATTTGGTGAAGCACTTGCCGCAGGTGGAGCAGGGGAAGGGCCGCTCGCCCGAGTGCACTCGCTGATGCTCCACCATGCGGCTGGCCACGGAGAACTCGCGGCCGCAGGAGGCGCAGCGGAAAGGCTTGGCGCCCAGGTGCGTGCGCTGGTGGCGCAGCAGCGACAGCGGCCTGTTGAAGGTCAAGCCACACTGGGCGCACGGGAAAGGCTTGTCGTTGCTGTGCATGTTGCGCTGGTGTTTGCGCAGATCGGAGGAGCGGACGAAGGCCCTCCCGCAGTCCGGGCACCCATAGGGTTTCTCGCCGGTGTGGGTGCGGATGTGCTTGCGGTGATCGGAGGACCAGGTGTACGCCTTGTCGCAGAAGGGGCAGCGGTAGGGCCGCTCGCCTGTATGCAGGCGCCGGTGCTGCTGGAGCGTGCTGCGGTGGGAGTAGGCCTTCCCGCATAGCTGGCACACATAGGGTTTGGCGCCGTGGTGTTCTCCGGGGACCTGAAGTTTGCTGGACTTCTGGAAGGCCCGCCTGTCCTGCACACACCTGTCAGCGTTCTCTTCTTCCTGACCTCTGCTTCCTGGCCCTACCTGGCCCTGGACTTTTCTACTGCCCTGCGCTTTTGCCAGCGCTGCTGCCGGGCTGGCAGGAGTGGCTGAAGTCTGAGCTGGGGTGCTCTTGGACCTGGGAAGGTGCTCCAGAGAGATCGTGTCTGGGGAGGATGCATCTGCACTGTTCTGGGACCAAAAAGACCCCCCACTATCCAAGAAACTGGTCGGGACTTCCAAGGTTATGTCCTTGTTTGCCTTCTGGTTCCCGTCATTGCCCCCTGAGTCCCTATGAGGCTCCCCCTCTGAGAAGCCTCTGAAAGGGGCACTGAGAGCCTCCTCTAACAGAGGGAAATCTTGAGTCTGTGTTACCTTCAATTCCCTTTTCCCCCGGTTGGTGGTCCTCCTAGGCATCTCCCCAGGTTTCTGCTCCACATAGCCAGAGCAGAAGGACCCAGACCATTCCTCTTCTTCTTTGCAGGACTGGGTATCACACTGCCAGTCGGTGTTGTTCTGGGTTCCTCGAGAGCCACCCTCCCTACCGTCCTCATCCTCACTCTCCAAGTTCATGCTCAACATCTGGGTGTCATGAATCATAGTGCCAAGGGACACCTTGCTCCACCTGTCCTGGGAGTCCATTTGTGCCATAGTGTGCAGGCACTTCAATTGTCTGCTCCTCCTAGAAAGAGCTTTTGCTTGGTTCAGGGTTCCTGCAGATGGGGGAAAGGGTGGGGAGTAAACCGTGAGTGTATTTAATCTCCCTCATAGCCAGAGGATATGGGGTTCCCACCATGGCTCTTTTTCCTACTGACAGCCCTGCCAGGTATATGGTCCAGCATCATGGGATGAAGGAAGCTATGGGTTCTGCTGAAACTGCCATGGTCACCCATCTTCTCTTGGGAAATCCTGCTTGCTAGAAGCCCAGAGAAAGTGCTGTCAGAGACACCTGGAGGTAGGGGGATTTGCTAGGGGCCCACACCTCCAATGCTAGCAAAACAGATGTTCTCTGGGCTAGGGGAGCTAGATGAAACAGCAAGAAACAGCCTTAGAGATACCTCAGACACTCTTAGGGTGTCCCCCAGTTGGAAAACCAGGCTAGCTCCTGCTGTCCTTGCCAGGAAGGCAAGTGGGTTATCCTGTAATGGTAATCTGAGGCTGCCTCCCAGGCATTTTGGCTGTATAGGCCACCTCTCTTGAAGGCAAAGAATAGTCCCCAGAAAATTGGGATGAGAACGTAAGACACCAGATGGGTTCCCAAACCATCTGTCTGCTTAAGCAAGGCCTTTACTATCTTTGCGATGGATGATAAGGCCCTAACTGCCATGAAGAGTGAACAGAGGCAGGCAAGGAGAAAGGGATGCCCACCTAGAATTTAAAAGGCTCCATTTTAAACATTCGTGGGGATTTATATTCTATGTTCGTTCACCTTTAGCTCCAATGTTTAACCTTCCCCTAAATGTGCCATGTGAACCCCCATGGCACCACAGGCCTAGAATACCCCACAAGGGTACATGTTCCCCAATTTGACAAGCATGGACTTAAGATTTGGACAGCAAGGCATGAGATGTAGAAGCCATTGAGCTTTATTTTCAATTTAATTTTGCTTTAGCTTGAAGACACAAAGTCTGCTGAGTGCCAGTTAACAAGAAGTGTCTGTGTGGGTGAGTGGCTTCCGAAGGGGGACCTTAATGAGGGCCTTGGAGTGAGAATGGGAATTAGTCACTGGCCAGCGGGGTGAGCTTGCTTTAGTTCTGAGGGAACATCCTGAGAATGCCAGACACAGTGAACCCTGGCTTCCCCGTTTTGGGGAGCACTCACTCTAGGCTGACTGCTTCCCAGACAGACACATTTCCACTTATTCCTTCCAGAGACCTTCCAGACGGAGATCGATGTAACTGTGTCTTTCCTCCCATCTCCCAGACAGGACCCTGGACCTTAATGAGGTTTTCCGCCTGCTCAAGGCCATACGGCTCACAGACATCAGCTCTGGGATGTCCCTCAAATTCCATGGCTGTATGTTGAACGCAAGCACTACTACCTCTTAGCTGAGGCCTCCAGAGCAGGGGCTGGGTGGGGCTGGGCCGTGCCATGGGCAGCCACAGCATCCTGGCGGGAAGAGCTGCTGCTCTCTGCAGGCATCAAAGCCCCTTGTGTTTGCTGGGCCAGGGAAACCTTGGCTGTGCTGGCTCAGCATTGGACTCCTCCCTGTGCTCACTGACCCGGATTGCCCTCTGCAGGAGAAAGAGGCCAGGGCTGACTGAGGAGTCAGGAAGCGCGCTCGCTCGCGGTATAGACTTCTGCGGCCAAGAATGTTAGTTGCTGAACAGTAACTGCCACCCAACTCCCCGACTGCTTGCACCGCCTTCCACCCCCACCTCAGCAGGGATGACAGGAGCTGTCTTTGAACTTGGTAGGTCCTGTACCTGTCTTACTCGATTGTGCTCTCCGTACTCCTACCTGCTTACTGTCCAGAGTGACCGTGTGTGTGTGTGTGTGTGTGTGTGTGTGTGTGTGTGTGTGTGTACCTGTGAAGAGACACACAGCTAGCACACTCCAGATGACTGGCATGCTGGGTCAGGTCTGGAGTCTCCCAGCTGGGAAATACAGGGGTGCTGGGTTTGTATGTAACAGATGCCCAAGGTCTCGTCCTCTCGCTGTGCCAGCATGCTATGCACACTCCTCTTGGTCTACTCTGTGCACCACTCTCCTTACCCATAAGCACCCTCTTCTCCACAGCCTGTATCTTGTTCCCTTCCTCTGGGCCACAGGTAAGCCTCCTCAGAGTACCAGGCAGGCTTCTGCTAGCTTACCTTTCTCGGGAGCCTCAGGCCAGATTCCCTTTCCTGACAGAGAACCCCTGTTCTGGTAAGCCACATCCCCCACGGAATAAACATAGTCACCCTGCCTTCTTCCTTCTCTCGAAGTTGAGGACTTTTGCTCTTTCTCAGAGGGAAGGCTAGGAGACCAGGGGCTCAGGTACAGTTATCTGGCAAAGTCTGCACAGATATACCTGGTCAGAGAGAGGACCACTGAGAAGGTGGTGTGGCTGGAACTTCTGCTCTCCTGATGTACAGGTTCAGAGGCCACGAGAGCACAGCTCTTTGCTGGACTTCATCCACCCCCATCAGCCAACTGTGGACCTGGTGCAGCCGGGTTCTCCCAACGCATACACAAACACTCTTCAGAAGCCTCGCCTGGGGCTCCTTCCTGCTCCTGCTTACGCCCCTGCTCCTCTCCCTGCACCCACTCCAGCTTACACTGACTCCAGCCACCTCCTACCTCCTCTACTTAGGCCCTCGCTCTCCTTTACCTCTGACTTTCACATACACAGCTGCTTACCTGGAAAACGGTGTGAAGCGCCCTGCCAAGGCTTTCCACACTTAGCCTCTCAGCTCCTGAAACCAGTTTCCCCGAGGACGAAGTCTCTGTGTCTCACCCTTTTGTGTCCCATGCAGCAGCTTCAGCGAGAGGCTCAGGAGGTGGGGCCAACGTAAGACATTCGACCTTCTTGCCTGCATCCGTGGAGCCTCCCTGGAGCGTCCCTGGGAAATACAGCAGCAGCGGGGCTGCCCTCTCTCTGCCTGAACTGAACTGAACCTCAGGCTCTCCCAGTTCCCACCTTCCCTTCCTGCCTCAGCTGGCTCTCCTCCCTTCCACTCCCTCCGCAGAGGCCTCTCAGTCCTCCTGCAGGTGGCCCTGGGCCTCCTGTTTGCTCTCACCCGTTCCTCCCACAGACCAAGCCCTTCTTCCTTCACTCCAGCCCTGCTATGCTCATGGTCCCCTAGTTTCATGTCGTTTTCTGAGGGAATGTTTCAGGGAAAAGCCTGTTACAGCCTTCCTTCACTCAAGTGCCCACCTTCTCCCATGTTCAAGTACCCACCTCCCCTCACTCTAGCACCCACCTCCCCTCACTCTAGTACCCACCTCCCCCTCACTCTAGTACCCACCTCCCCCTCACTCTAGTACCCACCTCCCCTCACTCTAGTACCCACCTCCCCTCACTCTAGTACCCACCTCCCCTCACTCTAGTACCCACCTCCCCCTCACTCTAGTACCCACCTTCCCCTCACGCTAGTGCCCACCTATACAGAGCTGTGGGTTGAGCAGGGATAGAGAGTGGTCCTCCAATTCTTTTATGACTCTAATTATTGACTCAGAAATGTTCGTGGCAGTTTAGCTGGTGCATGAGGTACAGGGATATGGCTTGTGGGTCTAGAGTCCAAGTCTGCCCTGGATCTCTCTCCATCACTCAGCACTAATTCCCATGCCAGTCTACTGTGATGAGAATAATTTCGAGGCTCGGTCATTTTGAAATGATAGGCACTCAAACTGTAAATGGAGGTGGAGTTTTTCTGTCCCCACTGGCTGGTCCCAAACAAACACACAGAAACTTATATTAACTACAAAATGTTCAGCCGATTGCTCAAGCTTATTACTAACTAGCTCTTATATTTAAATTAACCCGTTTGGTTTTTTTTTTATTATTATTAATTTGTGTATTGCCACATGTCTCGTGGCTTTACCTGTCCTCTAGCATCTTGCTTCTTGGGCAGCTCACTCGAGTCTCTCCCACGCTGCCCTTCTCCTTCCCCTTTTTACTTTGGTTTTTCCACCTAACCTTATCCTGCCTGGCTATTGGTCACTCAGCTTCTTTATTAAACCAATCAAAGCATCATTTACACAGTGTACAGGAATATTCCACAGCACAAAACTAATATGCTAAAAAAAATCCAAACAAACAAAACCCCACATACTTAATAATCTTTTGTTGGATTGAATGCTTAGGACATTAAAATAGGAATTTGGAATGTGTTACCCATGATGTCACTATGTGGCCAAACTTAATGGTGGTTGTCAAAAAGGTTCTGGGTCTGGGTTTGGATTTTACCACCCACTAGGTTGACCTTGGACAAGTAATTTAATTCTGTGTCTCTTAGCTCCTCATCTAAAAAGTGTTGTCTTGGTTTGGGTTTTTATTGCTGTGAAAAGACACCATGACCACAACTCTTACAAGGAAAACATTTAATTGGGGAGGCTTGCTTACCTTTTCTTTCTTTCTTTCTTTCTTTCTTTCTTTCTTTCTTTCTTTCTTTCTTTCTTTCTTTCTTTCTTTCTTCCTTCCTTCCTTCCTTCCTTCCTTCCTTCCTTCCTTTCTTTTTTTCTTTCTTTCTTTTTTTTTCTTTTTTTGGTTTTTCGAGACAGGGTTTCTCTGTGTAGCTTTGAGCCTTTCCTGGAACTCACTTGGTAGCACAGGCTGGCCTCGAACTCACAGAGATCCACCTGGCTCTGCCTCCCAAGTGCTGGGATTAAAAACATGCGCCACCACTGCCCGGCTCGCTTACCTTTTCAGAGGTTCAATCCATTGTCGTCATGACAGGGAGCATGGCCGAATGCAGGCAGACATTGTGCTGGAGGAATAGCTGAGAGTCCTACATCTTGCAAGCAACAGGAAGTCGACTGATAGACACACTGAGGGGAGCTTGAACAAAAGAGACCTCAAAGCCTGTCCTCACAGTGACACACTTCCTCCACAAAGCCAAGCCTCCTAATAGTGCCACTCCTTTGGGGCGCTATTTTATTTCAAACTACCACAGTGGGGATCAGGATAGCATTACCATCGGGGAGGGCTTGGAAGGATTAAGTTGATGATACACAGCAAGAAACCAGAAAAGTGTCCGGAATATAGTAAGTACACAGAAAAATTAGCTGGTAAATTTTGTATGGGGGAGTATACCTGTTATCCCAGCCCTTAGAGGGTGAGGCAAGAAGATCGCATGTGAAGTTAACCTGCATTATACAATAGGTTCTTAGACCTGTGTTGGAGGAAAGAAAAAAAAGAAGAGGGATGAAGGGAGAGTGACTAGATGGTTTCATAACTATGTTGATGTTGTTGGTTTCTTGGATAAGGTAGCTCTTTTTATGCCCCTACGGCCCTTGTTAGTGCTATAAATCTGATAGGAACATTGGCGCCCAATAACAATCCTCTGGGTATGATCCAGAGAGCAGATTACCCTGCTCCTTGGTGTTTTGCAAGTATGACTTTCAGAGGTAAGAGGTATGAGATGTAGATGTGCATCCTGCTCTCCAAGTCCAAATGGGGTTCCAGAGCCCACATCCCAACACTTGTCCACAAAGTGTCTCAAGTGACAGTATCCTTCAGGCTTTGGGGTTTAGATACATTTACAGGAAAGCAGTGAATACTTTGCTGATTTATGAAGAGGCCTATGGAGTTGGATGCTGGAGTTGGGATGTATGTGACAGATACCTCAAACACTGACTAGTTCTAATACTCAGCTAATGCTAACACAACACTTCAGTGTCTCAGCTAATCCTCACCACACTCCATCGCAGTGGTCCCTGTCACTGTTGGCCTCATTAACGCTTGTAGACACTGAGGCCCAGACCACTGAACTATCTTATCCAAAATCAAGGATACAAGGTAAATTCAAGACATTGCGGTTTTTACTCTTTTTCTTCTCGTATGCATTTTGTTTAAAGATTTATTTGTTTTGTGTAATTGAGTGTTTTGCCTGCCTTTATGTCTGTGCGCCACCACAGGCATGCTTGGTGCCCACAGAGGTTAGAAGAAAGCATCAGATCCCCTGGTGTTATGGATTGGTTGTAAGCCACCATGTGGGTGCTGGGAATCAAACATGGGGCCTCTATAAAAGCAACTGGTGCCCTTAACTGCTGAGATATCTCCCCACCCCTTCTTGTGGCCCCAGTGATTATAGCTGGTCTTGCTCATGCTAAGTAGGCACTCTACTGCTGGAGCTGGAGCCCCACCCAGGGTCCTCACTGTTAACCACGGTCTCTGCTCGATTCCTGATTCATCCTCCCTTGGAAACGTTACTGCCTGTCCTCGGGGCTGTGTGACTGTGTGTATGTGGCTTGGCAGTCACGATCCTGGAAGACGTTCTTGTCTCTGCACTTGACTGACCTGATTTCTACCCATCTAACCTGTTCCCATGAACCTGAACTGTCTGTTTTTCTGTTGCCCTTTCAGGAAACTGTAACCAGTGACTAATTTCCATATGCCATGGGCTCTCCAGGTGAAACTGACCAGACTCCCCTCTGGTTTTCAGGACATGTTGGCATTCTTACCATCTCGATATATGAGATAGGCATCCTTGTGGTAAAGAGGATCTGAGGTGGCCTGGGCACTACCTACATCAGGAGATAATATGAGCCCCCATGTCCCTGAATTTCTTTCCTGCTATGCCCTCTGAGCCAAATATTTTGTATCTTTGCTGCCTGAGATTCTTTACCATGCTAATGACCTACACACAGAGGGTAGGAGAAGCCTGAGAACCGAATTCTGGAATATCTTGTATCCTGGGTCCTTCGCACTTTGGGCAACACAAGCACATTGTCTGTCTCATTTTGTCTTCATAGCTCACTCTAAGGGCCACAAGGTATGAAGAGTTGGCCTAGACCACACCTTTGCCCTTCCTTTCAGGAACTGAAAGCTGTGGAGATGACTCAGTTGGTAAAGCACTTGCCATGTGGCTCTGGATCCCAAGCATCCACATAAAAAGCTGAGCATCTCTAGTCCAGATGCTGAGGAAGCAAAAGAGGAGGATCCCTTGGGTTTTCTGGCCAGCCAATTTAGCCTAATTGGTCAATTCCAGGCTAGTAGGAGATACTGAAAAAAAAAATCAAGGTAGAGAAGCAATTGAAGGAAACACCCACTTTTGCCCTCTGGCGTGTGTGTGTGTGTGTGTGTGTGTGTGTGTGTGTGTGTGTGTGTGTGTGTGTGTGTGTGTGTATGTATGTGTGTGTACATACTTATCCCCACATAAACACATACACAAGCCCATACAAGAAATACACACAATAAATAAATAAATAAATAAATAAATAAATAAATAAATAAATAAGAAATCTGTCATTCTAACCAGTGCCTCAGGCATGCAAACAAGGGAAGTATTGTCTTAATTTCTGTTTGCAGGTCTCCTTTAAAATCTGGCATTTCTCCCCTGAGCTGTCTTACTTGGCAGTGTGCAAATAAGGATCTGCCCGCCTGTTGGAGAAGGAGGAAGAAAGGAGCCATTGAGGGGGAAGCCTGAAGCATAGGGATGGGATGGGGCACTGGCCTCTTAAGAGGTGCAGCGGTAGAGCTCAGTGCTGCCAGTCAGCCACACAGGCTGGATGGAGCTGAGTGGCGCTACTGGAAGAGAGGCCATGCTGTCTCTCCACCTTCAAGGATGTTGTGGACTCTCGGTTGAGTTCATGAACTGGTGTTATGCCTGGACCCAGGACCAGATTATGATGCCTGAGAAGTTCCCCAAGTCCTGTTTATATGTTTGCAGCTAGGATTGTCTCTCCAAGTTCCCTGTTCTCAGTAGCCAGCTGTCAGCACAGGACCCTGGCTGCTCTCAAGGCAACAATTGGTGAGGTACAGTACCATCTATTTTATGCCCTAGCCCTTTATCACCCTTGAAAAAGAATCAAGGATCCACTTGAGTGTCCTACATATGGCTAAATATTCTTATGCTATCAGACAATAAGCTCATTAGTAAGAGTATACCCACAGTGAGAAAAACTCAGTCCTAAAAGGATTCATCACTCAGTTTTAATTGACTTGGTTATAAATCTCAGTTCCAATTTTTTTTTGGTCTTGGTCAATATATTTAACTTCTTTAAGAATATTTTCATGAAGACTGAGGATGGTAGCCCACACCTGTAATCCCAGCATTCAGGAAGCTGAGGCAGGAGAATCTTGAGTTTAGTGCCTGTCTGGGATACATATTGTGTTGAGACAAAAGCCAACCTAGGATACATAGTGAGACCCTTTCTAAAAGTATATATATGTATGTATGTAATTTAACTGTATTATTGTGAAATAACATTAAAACATTTTTATAAGCACTAAGCATAGTTTTAACTATATAGTAACCATTTGTACTGGCTGATGGTGTGTGTCAACCTGACACAAGCTAGAGTCATCAGAGAGGAAGGGGCCGCAGTTGAGGAAATGCCTCCATGAGACCCAGCTGTAAGGCATTTTCTCAATTAGTGATCAATGGAGGCAGACCCAGCCCATTGTGAGTGGTATCATTCCTAGGCTGGTGGTCCTGGGTTCTATAAGAAAGCAGGTTGAGCAAGCCATGGGGAGCAAGCCAGTAAGCAGCACCCCTCCATGACTTCTGCACCAGCTCCTGCCCCCAGCTTCTTGCCCTGTTTGAGTTCCTGTCCTGACTTTCTTCAATGATGGACAGCAATATGAAAGCATAAGCCAAAAAAAAAAAAAAAAAAAAAAAAAAAAAAAAAAAAAAAACCTTTCCTCTCAACTTGCTTTTGGACATGGTGTTTCATCATTCTTTGTTATCGATAGAAACCCTAACTAAGACACCATTCTTTATGAATACATGTATGTGTGTGAATATGTACATTCATATATATATATATATATATATGTATATATATATATATATATGCATGTGTGAGCACATGGCACATATGGAGACCAGAAATTAACCTCAAGTGTCATTCCTCAGGGGCCTACCACCTTGACTTCTAAGATAGGGCCTCTTATTGGCCATTAAGAGTTCACTTATTGGCGTTCACTTGAATAGTCTAGGCTGCCTAGCCAGCACACTCCAGGGATACCTATGTCTGCCTCAGCAGTGTTGAGATCACAAGTGTCTGACACCAGGCCAATGTGAATTGTTGTTTATGTCGGTGCTGGACATAAAAACCCAGTCCCTCAGGCCTCTGCATCCAATACTTAACTGACTGAACTGTGTCCACCCCCAGCCTCCCGGTTTTTCAAAAAACTCATAACTCTTACATTTTATCCTTGAAATAGTAGGAGCTTGCCTAAAAGTTGCCCTGAATTGCTCTGATCTCGAAGGGAGTCCTTCTTCTGGCTCTGATTCTTCTCCCTTTGCTTCACAAGTTCTCATCGAGAGACTATCTAAACAGTCATTCGGGGAGCTAGGAGTGCTCCCAGAAGCAATAATGTCATAAATATGTGACCTTCATTGTGTATTACCCTTGGCATGTGTGGCAATTAATGATGGGGTGGGAGGTTCGCCCTGTAGATGAGATGTCAAGCATTAGAGGGCTCCATAGGTCAGCTCTCCCAGTAGCTCCTTCAGATCAGTGCCCAGCTGAAAGCTTTCTCTTCCCTATCCCACACCATACTGTCCTCTGCACAGGAAGGTGACCCAGCATGCCTGCCCTGGAACCTGGCTACCGGGTCAACCTTGTCTTTACTCCTTGTAATTTGTCTAAACCTTCCTATGTCTTAGTGGATGATAGATTAGAACCCACAGAGTTAGGAGGATTAAACAAGATGCTGTACTTTACAGAACACACTGGACAGATAAACAATGGATGTTAATGAAAATGTAATGTGGGGTGGGGATCACCTCTACCTTCAGTCCAAATACCGAGACCCCTTCCTCTGGCTCCCACTGACATCTTTTCCTCATGCTATCCAAGGGCCTTACCCCGGGAATCATCTAGAACTCTTGGGTGAACTCCCAGAACACCACCAGCCTTCCTTTAGCTCCTGGAGACCCGTGTTGCACTGTGGTGGCCTTCCGAAGAACTTCTAAAGCCTGTAGCCCGTGAATATGAGAGAAATAGCTACAAGCAGTGGATGGTTATTAAGAAAAAAAGAGGCCAAATATTCACATTCTCTATTGGTTTGGCTTAAGGTTTCCTTGGTCCAGGGGAAGCACACCTTTCCAGGTCACAGAGGCCAGCCCTCTTTCCTCCACACCCCATCTCAGCTGTGCTGCTTTGAGATGTCCCCCATAAGTCTCAGGGATTTGGATACCTGGTCTCCAGTTGGTAGCCCTGTTTACTTTGGGGAGGCTCAGGAGGTGTGGCTTTGCAAGAGAAAGTGTGTCACTGGGGACAGGCTTTGGGGTTTCAAAAGCCCACAGTTTCCTGTGCTTTCTCTCTACTTCTTGTTTGTGGTTCTAGATATAAGTCCTCAGCTGCTGATCCGGCCACCATTTCTCCCTGCTTCCTGTTACTTCCATTCTGCCTCCATAGACTCTAACCCTCTGGAAACGTAAGCCCCAAATAAATTCTTCTCTAAGTTGTCTTGGTCATGGTGTGTTGTCACAGCAACAGAACGCTAATAGGGCATCGGTCTTGGCATCAGACCTTACAAAGGACTTCTTCGTAAGATTCCTGCATTCCAGCCCTCTTTTTGCCTTTGCTGGTCTTTCCAGGCTCAGGGATGAAAGGTTTGGGGAGGTTATGAGATGCTACATATCTCTAATTGGTGAACAAATTGAAATAGAACACTCTGATCCCATGTCCACAGGAATCTCTTTATTTGTGGATTACCAGAGTCCTAGGGTATAGTAGAAACAATTGAGGAATCAGATTTTGAAATTATCTGATGCAGCCCTCTGCTTTCCGGGTGTTGAAATATGCATGTTCATTTGTTTGCTCTGTCATGCATTTATTCATTCATCCAATATTTGTTCACTTCCATTATGTCAGCCTTTGTCCAACTACCAGACAGAACCTGCAAATAGGACAAGGATCATTTTAGAGCCACAGCCTACATTCTTTTTAGAACAGACTATACCAAAAATGTCGCACACACAGTATAAAACTGACTGTTTAGGTAATTTCAATTTTAACCATATATATGAAATACATATGTGAAAGTTATAATGTGTCTTGATTCTTTTCTTTCCTTTTATTTTTTATTTTATTTAATTTATTTTGTAAACTTGACCTAAGCTAGAGTTGTGAGGAGGCTGAGAAAATGCCTCCATAAGATTAGCCTATGGCGTAGGGAAGCCATGGAATTTTCTTAATTGGTGATTTAAAGGGCAGGTCCAATCCATTGAAGGTGGCACCACCCCTGAGGTGGCAGTCTGTGTGTAAGGCAGCAGGCTGAAGCTGGGCATGGTAGCATATACATTTCATCCCAGAACTCAGGAGGCAGGGGCAGGAGGATGTCTGTGAGTTAGAGGCTGGCCTAGTCTCATGATGAGCTCTAGGCCAGCCCAGAGCTACATAGAGAGACCCTATCTCAAAAACAAAGCAAAACAAAATGCAAACAAGCAAAGAATTTCAGACTGAGTAAACCTGAACAAGTTATGAGAAACAAACCAATAAGCAACATTCCTCCATGACTTCAGCTAGGTTTCTGCCTCTAGGTTCCTGCCTCCATGTTCCTGCCCTGACTTCCTTCTGTGATGGACTATGATATGGAATAGTACGATGAAATAATCCCTTTCCTCCCCAGTTGCTTTTGGCCATGCTGTTTAATCAAAGCATTAGAAAGCCCAACTAAGACATAATGAAAACTGTATTTTATATTCTGGTTGTTTTTATTCATGATCAAAAACATTTGAGGCCTTAGAGGTCCCCCAAACTGTATACGTTATGGCCATTGCCCTTACTTGCCTACTAGAATTGGATAGTAATATTGTGTTGCTAAAGACACCACAGATTTTGGTTGCAAAATACAGAGAAACCATGCTAGAACTGAGCTAGAAGCTTCCTTCCTGCTGGATAGCCTTTATAGTGCTGGAAGTCACTCTACAGGTGAGTTGGGAAGAAAAGTTAGCAATGGTCTTTCCTGGCCGTGGACCTTGAAGCAAACAATGGCCAATGTTCGGTAAAAGGTACTGAGAACAGATGACTATTTAGTACTCAGCCTTTAATAAGACATTCACACCACCCTTCCATGGCTCAAAGAACATGATGGAAAGGAGGATAGAAAGACTGTAAGAGCCTGAAGGTGGGAAGGAGGGCAGTGAAATGCTCTCTGATGGACAAGGCATGACCGAGGTACTCATCAACTGACCACAGCTGTGGTTGCCTGCATAAGCCTGTACAAGGTAGAGCCCATAAACATTCATTGGTGGGGAGGGTCTCATGGGGCTCCTACCCTGTGAGGGGAGCTATGGACTTTTGGAAAGAGGAAGTCATTGTCTTTAGCCATGTATCCACCTGTGAGTTACTTATGACCCAGTGAACAGCATCAAATCCATGCCCATGCCAGTGACCCTGGCTAAGCCCAGTTGGGCCACAAATACAAAAACAAAAACATAACAAAAAGTGTGAAAGTGGGATAGGGACTTGGTTGAAGATGGAAGGAGACTAGAGAGATGGAGGTAGGAGAAGGTCAAGGAAAGAGATGAATGAGATCCGACTGTATTATATATATCAATGAAATTATCAATTAATAAATTAATTCAAAAACAAAGCACTTGAAGACATCAACTTTATATTAGCCGTGTTGTACACAAGCATAAGCAGGCGGGGGGGGGGGCTAATTATGATAATTCGAGGCTCACTGCGTCCACATAGCACCTAGAATCTGCATTCCAAAAAGTCCCCTCATAATTCTGAAGCATGAGTCACACCTGCACCAAGGAGAGTCCAGATTCCAACCTGGCACGTGGAGGAGCCGGGTCCTGTCTTGCTCTGCAGGAACTCGGAGCCATCTGTAGATACTGCGTTATGACGGCAATTGGGCGGATAATAAAAAGAAAGGGATAAATGGCTTTCCCTAGACTTTGAGAAGTCTTCCCTTAAGAGAAGGCTTTTGCGCTGGCTTCAAAGGATGGGTTTTTGTGTTTGTCAAGCAGAGGACGAGGACAAATGTCTCTCAGCTTTTAAATCCCTCCGCATCTTTTCTGGTCTCCATTCACCTCCTGGAAGAGCAGCCCCAGTTCTCTCGGGACTAGGCTGGCACTTGCTGGCTCCCGGTACTCGGGCGCCCCCTGTGGCTCACAAGAACATTGCCACTGGGATCCGGGCTTCATCACCACTGCTGAGAAGCTCTGGGCTCTTCAGTCTTCCCAGGTCACACCACCTACAGATCCTGGCAAGGGTACAAGAGGCCTTTTCTTCCCGAGGCCCCCATCACGCCCACATGCCTCTCCTCACAGCTGTCTAAGTCGGCTGCCTGAACACAGAAGCAATTCACCGAAGAGAAGGAAAGGCGACTGAGGTTTCCATAAAAACACCCCCCCCCCCCCCTTCCTCTTTCAACCGCTGCGTGGCACATTTCTGGAGAGGGCCTCTCTTCATGCAGCTCTCGCTGTGGGTATGAAGCCAGGTTTCTGGAAAGACATTTCCTTTTCTGATGCTGTAGTTCGCTGAACGTGTGGATTCTCCTGGCCAGGGTGAACGGAGGCCAAATTGAGCCACAGACCACAGCAGAGAACTCGCAAGGCACAGGGCAAGAGCTCAACGGTGTAACAGCTGTGTGGAGTTGGAGACAGAAGACGTGGGGTACCAGAGATAAGAAAGAAAGAAAAAAAATAAAGCAGAAAGGAGAGTCCCATTGCCATTATGCTCTGTGACTCCACTCAGCAGTTAAGGTTGCTTGCGACTCTCTCCATGTGTGGCCCCCAAAACTGAAGGTAGCCTCTGGGCGCATCTGATCTAGCAGAGCAGAACTGGCCATTCCTTTCTCTAGGTCAGTTGTTGGCTAAACCGACAGCTTTGACCTTGCTTGGTGGTCACAGCGTTAGGCTGAGAGGCGAGAGTGTTCCAGCACGTTAAGAGAGGCAGGGAGCATACAGAGGGTGTGGTCCTGGAAGGCTCCTAGGAGCCGAGGCCAGTCCCGCTACTGACCACACCCCCTGCTGGATCTACACAGAGAGTACTCTTGGATGGGAGATCTGGACAGCACAGCACCATGTGAACATGACCTCTGAGCCCGGGAGTGACACCTACGTCCTTGTCCTCCCCTCACAAGTCAGTCCAGGGGAGAGGCTGTTGGTAGATGGTGCTGTCATGGCAAAGAGGCCTGCCCTGCCTCCCTTGGAGCTGCTTCTCAGCTCGATTCGAGATCCTTCTCTGTGTACGCGCCCTCTTCACCTCCCCTCAGCCCACTCACTCTGCAAGCCCTCCACACTCTGGCTCCTATCCCCCAGTTAACTGCAGCTGTCACGGGGGAAATGATCTCCATATGGGATGCTCCAGAAGATTCATGGTTTTCAGTGCCCTGCTCAAGCCCTCTGCCTCAACCAACTGGGGGAGGTCTTTCCCTCCTGAAAACCCTTTCTTTCCTCAGCCTCCTTATGTGATACTATGACCCCCATTGTTCTCCACCACTTCTTAGCCCCAAATTGCGGGAATTTGGCCTAAGCTGGCTCTCCTCTCCTTTCTTCCTCTGGCTTCCTCCTCTTCTCCCTCCCCCTCCCCCTTCATCTTCCCCTTTCCTCTCACCTTCTGTCTCCCTCCTCTTCCCTCTCCCTCCCTCATTTCTCTCTACAGTTTGTACATTATCTCATCCATATCTATGGCCTCAAATCCCTTCTCTATTCTCAAAACTACCAAATATACATCTCCGAATTCTAAATTTGTATATTCCACTGCCTACTTAACTCATTAACATTCTAAACTTAACCATCACAAACTGAATTTCCCAGACCTGTTCCTCTCCCAGACACTGCTATCTCGAATAAATGCCACCATCAACAATCCAGTTGATTTAAATTTAGGAGTTATCCTTCCACTGTGGATTCTCTCACCCTCCTATCTCATGAATCAGCACATAGGAGTCCTGCCCTTATTTGGGTTTTCTCTATTGCAACCACCACGGTAATCTTTTTTAAAAGTCATGAATGCATTCAACAAACCTGTATTAAGAACTTGCTATGAACTGTTCCAGAGTGTGGTGATATAGTGGAGTTTTTTAGAAAATAAAAAATAAAAATGAAAAAGGAGGGAGGAGCAAAGGAGACAGACCCTTTTCTGTGCTAGTTCATAGTCTTGGCAGGATCAAGAGGAGGCTAAGCAGTCCTTTAGAGGGTGATAAACCCCCTGAAGTGTTATCAAGAAGACTAAAACAAGGAGCGTGGACAGAACAAGAGAATGGAGTGGGAGCCGCCAGGGCATGACCAAGGCGGGGGTGGGGGGGGTGGGTTTTTTTGTGTGTGTGTGTGTGTGTGGGGGGGGGGGTGGGGGGGGTGGGGGGGGTGGGGGGTGTGTGTTCTGAGACATTCAGCCAGGAGCCAAAGGAGGTGAAGAAATGCCTTTGGAGAGAGGGAGGTGTTCCACACAGAATGGGAAATTCAAATTCAAATTCAAGCCCTGAGTTCAGCTCTCACTAGGCAGGCCAGTTTGTTGTGGGATGGTCTGTATGTCAAATTGCTCTGATTGGTCAATAAATAAAACACTGATTGGCCAGTGGCCAGGCAGGAAGTAGGTGGGACAAGGAGAGGAGAATTCTGAGAAGCAGAAGGCTGAGGCAGAAAGACACTGCCAGCG